ATGCCCTAATTTTATAATTATAGTTTTTAATTTTAACTCCTTGTAAATTTCTTTCTCCTTTTATTCTTCTAATTAATAATTTGAATCATATTTTGGATGGGGATGGGGGGTGGGGAAGGTGGGCTAGAAACTTAATAAGTGAATAAAATAATAAATATTTCAGGATTGTATTTTAGAATTAAGGTTTATTTGAGAAAGGAGGAGTTGGGAAAATAGCCTTTCCTTGAATACTATATATCTCAGGTGTGTTTATTGCAAGGATTATGGGTCACTATTTTTGTTATTAAGGGGGTAGGTATACTGGTGAATATGTAAACTGGTTTATGGATTAGGAATCAGTCCATGCTTTAATAAGTAAGAGTAAAATGCCTCCTGACTTGAACAAAACATGCCATCTTTTGCATCTTATTCCATGACAAACCCTATAAATTATAAATTATAATAATAATAATAATTAAATAATAATAATAATAATAATAAAATTTATTTATATCCTGCCTTCTGGAAATCCAATCTGGGCGGCTTACAGCAATTTGGCTTACTAAATTTGCTAAGTAGCAAGTTAAAGAGCTGCAGGGACTGTCTGTGGCTAAGAACTGTGTCCTCATTTTATCCCTTTTGATCAGAAGGAGGGTGTGGGAAAATGCAAGAAAGAAAATTAGCACTTAGGAGAAAAGTATTAGAGAGACTTTGTGGTGTAGTGGTTTGAGCATTGGACTATGACTCTGGAGACCAGGGTTCAAATCCTGGCTCAGCCATGTAAACCCACTGGGTAACCTTGGGCAAGTCACACTCTCTCAGCTTCAGAGGGTGGCAATGGCAAACCCCCTTGGAAGAAACTTGCAAAAAAACAACAACAAACCAAAACATGATAGGGTTGCAATAAGTTGGAAATTACTTTTGAGGGCAACAAGAAGAAAGGTATTAAGGACCTAAATATCCAGAAGGCACCAGATCCCATCTGATCATGGAAGCTAAGCACGGTCATTTACCAACTGCTGTAAACTATACTTCAGAATATTCTGTATCTGATACAGCCCTCCGAAATTCATAGGGTCACCATACTCAGACAGGACTTGCGCACCAACTTTACGTCCATTTCTTTTCCTTGACACCAATTTGAATGTTTGACGTGCTTTTGATGAGTGTTTTGGGAAAGTAGTCATTCATGTGTTCTTTTCCATGTTTACTGTTATTTGGAGTAAGGTTGCAAGGCGGTGGCTCTTGTGGGGATTGCAGAACCTGGCCTTCACACAATAGAAACTCTCTGAAGCTAAGGAATGCTTTGTCTTTGTCAGGGATCACAAGCTTAATATTTAAATTCCTAAAAGCACAATGATATGCTGTGGAGGAAAAAGGAAGGATTGCAAATATCTACATAAATAAAAAGATACAATCTGCATTATATGCTTAAAGATATGTAGTGCCAAATTAAAATAGAAATTAAATGGTTTAAGAAGACATTGTTCATCAGCTGAATTGTTTTGCCCTGTGCTTATTTTAATAAATGAATCTGACTTTAGAAATTTGAATTATCTTTATTCTGATTTTTGGGAGGGTGGATCAATTGCTTTGAATTTTCTTCATGATGTGAACAGGAAACCATGCCCTATGAGGAGCGTGCAGAAGAGAAGGAAGGTTAAGAAGTGGCATGATTTTTGTTTATTGTGTGCCTTCAAATCGTTTCTGACTTAAGGTGACCCTGTCATGGGGTTTTCTTGGCAAGATTTGTCAGAGGAGGTTTGCCATTGTCTTCGCCTGAGGCTGAGAGCATGTGACTTACCTAAAGTCACCCAGTGGATTTCATGGCTGAGCAGGAAATCAAACCCTGACCTCAAGAGGGGCAGTCCAACACTCAAACCACTACACCACACTGGCTCTAATTATATTCTATGCCTATAGATAGCTATATCTAAATATTTGAAGGGATGTCATAATGAGGATGGAGCAAGCTTGTTTTTCTGCTGCTCCAGATAATAGGACAAAGAGCAACGGAGTCAAACTCCAGGAAAAGAGATTCCACTTAAACATTAGGAAGAACTTCCTGACAGCAAGAGCTGTTTGACAGTAGAATATGCTCCCTTGGGGTGAGATGGAGTCTCCTTTGGAGGTTTTTAAACAAATGGCGATCTGTCAGGGGTGGTTTCATTGTGTGTTTCTGCATGGCAGAAGGGGGTTGGACATGATGGCCCTTGGGGTCTCTTCCAGCTCTAGGATTCTCTGATTCTATGGAAATTTTAAAATAATGCAGCAATATAAAGTGATTATACAAAAAACATTTCACTGATGGGACTGCCTGGGGTTTTTAACCCGTAGCTGGAATAGCCAGAAGAAAAGGGAGAGAATGAACACCTGCCAGTCCACAATATATGAATGTATGGGCCTCAGGATAAACCCTTCAAAGAAATTTCTTGTACTTATTTTTGTACGCTTGAGTACAAAAAAGAAAGGCTGTGTTTGTACATCATATTATACCATAGTTTAGTGTAAAGTGCACAGATGGGGATAAACTGCAGTGAGGTTGTGATCATGTTATTCCCTCCTGCATAGCTAAGAGGCAAGCTTTGGGCATCTCTGCTTCCTGTTTTGGTTCACCATGATTTGTTACATTACCCAGACTAACAAATTATGGTTAACAGTTAACTGTGGTTCAGGCAAGTCAAATCCAAGTCATAATTACTGAATTATCTGTAAACTAACCATAGTTAAAATTTACTACAATTCTAGGTCTGGACAACATAGAACGATGTAATTAATTTAAAACAGAAACATCCAACAAAGCCAGGGACTGGAGCAGGAGGATAAGTGGGTATGTGAGCATGAAATTAGCTGTACTTAATTCCTGTTTATGCAGATGCTAACTGGACAGCTAATCTATGCAGGTTCTGAGGTTGTATACAAGGAATGAGATTTGTAAACCCACTTAGCTGTGCACTTGGTGAATTAAGCCAATAGTCCATCTAATCTGCTTTGAGCAGTATTATCTTGTGTTGCGTGTATGTGTGCGCTCTTTTGAAATGTGGTAATTATTGAACTAATTAATGCAAAATAATTTGTCTTTAGGTCACAGTTCCAATAATGCTATTATATCAGAGAGTTGTTTCATTGAGTAAATTATGAACAATTCCAAGAATCTTACCTTTTTATTAAATCCCAAAAGTTCATCTTGTTTTTAACATCACTGTTTTTAACCTTTAGCAGAGTTCTTGTTTAGCTTGGGGAGGGTTGTAATGTTGTGCAACTGGTATGTTCAGAACAAGGCTTGAAAAGTCAGTGTTGGGAGTGGGCTTGAATGACAAGGTTGTCTGTGAGTAATAAAGGTCTAAGACCAGCAAACAGTCCTTGAGTGCTTTAAATGATGGTTAGAGATGTATCTTCCACATAAGGAAAGCCCCACTTGGCATTCTGTGGATATTTTAGGCTGTACAATCAGCCTTTCATATCTGTGGATTCTTTAACTAAAGTATTCTGTATAGCCTTAAAGTACTCTCTTTCTTTTCAGAGGGTTAGGTCAGTCCTGATGGTTTTTTGAACATGTGATTTTAATGATATTTTTTATTACTTGTTTAGTTGATTCTACTGTATTTTTGAGTTTCACTGTTACAATACTATTTAAGGAGTTTTGGAATAAAAGTGGTATTGAAAGGTGTGTTTTTATTTCAAAAGGTAATATAAGCATCTATCCTTTAACATACTAAAAAACATTTTTTTTAAAAAATCTGTCTTTCTGATCACATGGAGATGGAGTAGTCAGTTGTCTTGATTGCTCTTCTGTGAAATCCAGCAAAATACAGGGCCAAGACTAAGGGAGGAAAATAACTGTTACAGCTGCTACTACATTGTAACTGAAAGCAAAGACTGGCTGGATTTTTTCCCCCTTGCTCAGTGTCTTTCACTTCTTCCAGTGAGCAAAGAAGGTAAAATTCTGTCTCATTGGCAATCTGGGTTGAACAGGGTTTTTGTATATGAATCGAGCTGGTGAACCAAGAAGGCTGGAGGGGAAGTATGAAATGGCAGTAACTTCTACTTCCTCCTTCCCCCCTACAACTGGATTGGCATATTTGTTGATAGTCCTAAAGCATGGATGGGAATTATGTGGCTGATGGTGTTGAACTGCAGTTCTCAGCATTCTTAACCATTGGCTATGGTGACTAGGGCTGATGGAAATTGTAGTCCAGTAACTTGTGGAGGGGTGAATAATTCCTCTCCTTGCTTGCATGAAGTCAAACAGAGCCCACCAGATTTGCCAAGTCCTTGTCATGTGCCCCATACTGCTGTTGTTGTAGACCCAAGCAGAGCTTTTTAAAAATACAAATATATTAAATATTTTAAATTGTTGTACTGTGATTCTTTACATTACAGTATTCTCTTTAAAAAGATGTGGTCAGAAAAAAGATGTGGCTGATGGGTTACAAGCAGAGCTTGGGGAGAAATTGATCTTAGTACTACTACCCCATTGGACATGCTGAATCAGGGTGGCTGAGAGCTGTAGTCCAGTAATAATTCCCTACCCCAGCTCTTGGTGATATTGTCAGTGGCCATGCTGTCATGGGGATCTTGGGAGTTGTAGTCCAGTTTACTCCCTCTAAGCTCAGGATGCTTATATATTCCAGCAACCAGTAGAATAGAAAATGTTACAAACATTTGTTTGTAACAGTAGAGCAAACAGTGGAGCAAATATAAAAATACTTATCCATATTCATTAGTATCAGAGAAAATGTCCACGAGAAGTTGACCATGATAGGATATCCATTCAAGTACAGAGAGAATGAATATGATCCTCAACCCATTGAATAATGGATTATGGATTTAGGAGGGTTTGAATCTTTAGCAGATGTGGCTGTTGTGTTACAAGCAGAGTTTGGGGAGAAATTGCTCTTAGTACTACTACCCCATTGGACATGCTGAATCAGGGTTGCTGAGAGCTGTAGTCCAGTAATAATTCCCCACCCCAGCTCTTGGTGATATTGTCAGTGGCCATGCTGTCATGGGGATCTTGGGAGTTGTAGTCCAGTTTACTCCCTCTAAGCTCAGGATGCAAATTATGGAAGCCTGATCTAGACACCAATGATGTAACCATGGCCTCAGGAGAAAAAGGGAAGAAGCAGAGTTGGGTTTAGTTGACACAAGAAACTATTTTTGGTAGGTTTTAGAATGCTAGATTGCAGTCGCTGTGTACTCCTTTCCTTCAGATTGCTTCTTATCCAGACGAGGATAAACATTCCTTAATATGATAAATACATAAATGGTTTATATGGCTAGTTCAATTAATCAACTACTATTACCAGGTTTTCTGAACAAGTACAATCTCTTTATCCTGGAAAACGAACAGACTAAGCTGATTGGTTGCAGTTGTAGCCAACAGAGGCTTTTTATGCTTAGTTAACTAGGTTAAGCTAGTGTTGGCTTTTATCTGATCAAAAACATGGTCTGATAATGGCAGAAGGAATTCTGCTAACTAGATTAATAGTGGGCTCCAAGCCTTCTTAGAAATTTTCCAGAGGATGTGCAAATGCACTGGTGGAGCAATTATGAATTCTTTCATGGTAATGGTTACTTGTGTTTGTCATGAATCCTCTGTTCCCATTCAGAGTTGCCGAAATTTCAGCTCAATAATCCTCTCTCACAATACTACAAAGCAGAATCAATCATCCATCAAGTAGAATGGCAGAAGAGGCAGGGCAGACAGAAGGAAGTACCGTATTTTCCGGCGTATAAGACGACCCGCGTATAAGACGACCCCCCCATTTTTCCAGTC